GGCCTTCAACGTTTTTTCTCCTCCTAAACTACTCTCATACATTGCGTTCGTGTATTTTTTCCAGGCGTGTGACGTTTTTTTCCTGGCGTGTTTTATGCCCGCCGCGCGTAATATGTCAAAACTTAAACGCTTACTTATCGAAGACTATAAATATGATATTCAAGTGGGCTATCTTTAATCCGATAAATTGCTTTCGCAACGAGATTACTCGAGCAATTTCGTTCCGGAACGCCGCCGCCATGCGAAGACGGCCAGACAAGCCATAACAGCAGATTATCTCCAATGTCCATCTATAACTTTTACGACCCGATCGCACGGTCAGTTTGATAATACTCCAGGGTAAAGTCGCCGCCGCCCCCCGGCCGCCACTCGTAGATATCGTCCTGCGATTGATAGCGAGCGGAATACTTTGCATCGCCTGTCCGCTTCATATCCAGCCACTTTATTACATCCCAAATACCAAAAATTACATTCGGTGCTTCAACATGCCAAGAATGAAATATTTTCCGGGAGGAAATAATATTCGTATATCGAAGATGAAAATTACTGACGTGCATTTACCTTGAAAGCGCCACGCGGCGCACAACGAAGATATGTGCGTAAAAGGAAGAGCAACTTGTCGGTAATTATTAATTAACAGCGCGAGCTTTCAGCTCCGGCTTTCTAAGCTTTTACCGCGCCAGACCTGAACCTGAACCGAACCAGCTCCCGAACGTATCCCCGCTTTCTTGTCGGCGGCGTGCTGCGGTGCGCAGCGATGAGAGAGCGGAGAATATGCATATATGAAAGGAAAGACCTTTTCGAACCCGGCTTTCACTACCGTCCTCTTCTCGGGAGAGCGCTTTCAAAGCGGCACTACTTTTCGCTGGGATCAACACAACCTGCACGTCGGAAGCACATTATGGCGCCGCATTAAAGAAGCGAAAAAGGGAGAATCGGGCTTCCGGTGCGCTGGAGTCTTAAATTTACTGCATCATTGCAACATATTTGTACGGTTTTTCGAAAATACAGCACCAATGAACAGCTAGCTAACTTAATAAGTAAACGATGCCACACCACGCACTCCAACCTCATCCCTTGCCGCTTGTTTTACTTTCCTTTCCACTGAGGACCAACATAGTAGCAATTTACTAATGGATATTACAAGCGTCCATTCTTTATATTCCTATGATGATTATCGGAGGAATTTGAGAATTCTCTTCTGGGCACTTTAGGCAATTGCCACAATTTTTTCCTCGCGCGCTTATGTTTCTAATTTTGCGCGCTCTGTTTCGGTTGCAATTTTTCTTAATCGCTCCCAACGTCAGTCGCGGAGACAATTAGTCACTTAGCGATTAATTTTTTCCCTTCCTGCAGCCATTTTTCGCCTAAATCTTGCGCAAATCTCTTAAATCTCTCGGAAGCTATTCCGCCTGCACTTCGTTCCTCGTCATTTATTTAATTGTCCTCGAATTCTTTTCGCGGACTTTTTCGCCGCTTATAAGGGGTTAGAGTGTTAGACGCTTCGGTAAAAAAGGATTTCGGTGGATGTTGGAAGGCGTCACGCTCGCGCGCACCAAGGCACCCCTTTTTCGCTCGGCGATGTCGAAGAAGCGAAGAGGTATTAGTAGCGAATAACAATTATTTTAAGTGTTTGCGTAATTCTTTCGCAGCCGTCAAGTGGGACGGCTTTTGTTTGTGCGCGTTCGGCCTTTTTTCGGCGCCCAACTCTAATTATCTGAATGTTTGCGTTTTCGTACGTGCTAAATGTAAGAAATTGCACGCCGGGAAGATAAGGGGTTGACAATACATTTTGTGTGTGTCGTTTTTTTGTTACGTTTTGGTTTTGTTTGCGTAAAGGGCGAATGCAATTTTCTAGCGTTTTGCACTCTTCGACTTGCCGGCTTTTTCTCGTCGGGTTTTCGGTTTGTTAATTAAATAAATCTTGGCCGGCACGCTGCGCGCTAATAAAGCGTCGGCGTCGGAATGGAAAATAAAATTTTGGAATTCGTTCCGTTCGGAAATTCGAAATTGCTTAAGTCTCAATTGCGCTATTATGCCTTTATTAAATCAATAAGGGTCGGGATGGTCGGGTATGTATATCGGAAAATGGGGGAGAGCTCGGTGGAGGTTATTAGATTACCTTGCCAACTGTGTCTGTTCCGACACGTTTTGCTGGTTCCACATGTGTGCCACACTCGCTGCGCCACCCACTCGCATTCACACGTACACAAACACATTGCGAGTCTGTGACCCTGCCGGATTGTCGCAATCAGGGTGGCGGAACGCATCTCGAAGGAGCCAGCCACGTGCGCGCTGTGTGAGTGTCGATTTCCAGTTGTCGGACTTTTTTCGCCGCTGCTGGCAAGCCTTTCTGACAATTTGTTCACGTCGATGATTTTGCGTCCGACCGACATGGGGCGAGGGTCTTGCCTCCTTCGGACATCGTCTTCGCTGTTCAAAACGAGGGTCCTCTCACACCGCGCGCTGTTCGCCGGGCCTGCTAATCAAGAAATTGAAGTTTCAATAAAAGCCATCATTAATTTTGAGTTTGGGGTTCTCGGTGCGTGGTGTGTGCTCGCCCGGCGTCGGTCAGCGGACCAATCATACTCTCAGTCTCTCCGCCGGCGCATTCCAAGAAGCTCCCAGACGACGGCGAACGTCTCACTCGCCGCCCGCTCTCGATCTAATTAGCGTTAGTGAGAATTACATGTCCCTCTTGATTTCCGTCAAAACCGACGCTCACGCGATGCGCCTAGACCAGACGTCGCTCGCAAATTATTTCGAGCTCGCGAAGACGCCGAGCGACGGGCGACGGAATGCGTTCCGATGCTTCGGTTCGTTAGTTTAAGGGTGATTCGACGCGTCCCTTCGGCCGGGTCGCGCACCTTCGACAAGATTCCTCTGGTTGATTGTACAATTTCGTCCCGATCTCCGGCCCCTGCCTGCCCCACAGCTTCCTCCCGCCGCGCGGCGTGTCTATGGTCGGTAATTCTAACAAATGAACCACCCGGCTACCGCCCGAGTAACCAAATTAGATTTCACATGTGTCTAATTTGACTTTTCATCAATTTTCCTCATTTCTTTCGATTTAAATTACATCGATTTAGTTTAATTACAACCACACACACCCACAACCAACCGCTTCTTTGTTATCAACATCAACAGCGCTCAAAATGCAAAAATTCCGAACAAAAATTATTCATGAATGAATTTCCATCTGCCCGCTTTTTATCGTTAATTTTTCACGACACGCTGAGCTCCCGCACGTCGCGGACGCTTTTGTGTTTGGTAAAAATATCGAGGGGACGCTTATGGTTGTCGCGTTTCGTCGCCCAAGACGTTAGGCATTACTTAGACGATCAAAACGGAACGACGTCGCGCTGGGTGCGCTCGCTCGCCTTGGTTTGATATCAAGCCGCACGGACCATTAACGAATTTAAAAATATATCTGCATTTAAATTTCACGAGCCTCGAGAAGCGAGACTGTCGTCTGGCGCGCTCGCCTCGATACATAAGTAAGCGACGGGCGTCGCGACGCGCCATGGTTCCGCAGCCAGCTGATAGTGAATATCATTGAAACGACACGACTACATGACTGCGAGGGGGCTGGGTAGGAAATTGAGGGACAGGCGGAACGAATGACTAAAACTCCGACGACAATAATAAAGAACTTGTACTTGGCGAAAAACAATCAACACATGACGAAGAAAATCCCGGAGCCAATTAAAAGCATTTGCAAGGGATGTATTCAATTACCCAGCTGAAATTAGATGCTGGGAATGATCAAACATCGCGCGCGACTTTCTTCGGCCTCTCACGTCCGCATCACCTGTAATCAGGGGCCACATTTATGAGCAGTCGGCGTTAAGATTTCGAACGAAATTCACGTTTCAGGGGACACGGCCATGGCAACGATTTGATCGGAGCATAACAATCAGAGGTACGAAACAAAATCAAGAAATCATTTCGAATATGGTAAACCAAAATATACACATTTCCAACTAACACAACACGTTAGAATCATCCTTTGATGTTTGCAAACGTGGAATAAAATAAAATTTTTGAAATTTCCAAACTTTTGCAAACATTTTAAATGTTTTACTCTTGTGAGTTTGCCATCTATTCAACGCCGAAGGGAGTTGTCCGGGTGATAAGGTATTTCATGTACAAGCGCGTCAAAAGGACTCACAATTAATGAGGTTCCTTTCATGCCTCCTGCTCGTCTTCACAACATATTTAATAGAATATCATAGAAAAGAAGCAATAAAACCAACGGTAGCTCCGTGGAACGTAAGCAGATACTCATTCCTGCTTTGGAATAAAACTAAAAAGAAAAAAAAACTGAGAAATAGAACACGCTGCGGATAATTAACGAAATTAAATACCGAAACCTTAAACAAAAGACAGAGATTAAAAACTGTTTGCCCAACGATCGAAATCTAAGACGTCGGAATCAAAAGAAAAAAAGTTTCTGGTAAGAGGGTGCAGTATTAAGGGCTTGCATTCACTGCAACCCTCCAGGAATATAGTGCGTGGGTTGTGGGCATCTCAAGTATACTTTACGATGACACTAACGGCTCACGGTCAGGTTCAAACGGCAGGTTAAATCGGTAAACGATCGATGTTCGACATCGCCGCGCATTAACGCGCGTTGGGCTTTACGGTTATTGTTATGGCGTTTTCGGCTTTTTCATGATTACTGACTGATTGCGGCCGGTTTTAATTCGGCGCGGCGCGCCGAAGGAACGCTTGCGGATGGTTTATGCGGTCTTAATTGTCGGTGTTGCTCGTTGGCGCTGTTATTGCTTCGGGATCGTTGATTTTTATTCGTTTTAATTACTTTTTATGCGCCCAGTGCCCGCAGCAAGTGTAAACTTGAAGAAAATTTACAATTTCTGGTATATTAGGGGTGCGGCTAGTAAATACAGTGTATAAAAAGTGCAGAGTTAATAGTTACAACATTATATTTATAATATATACAATTACAACAATATAATTTGATTCGCCTTTCGCCTGCCTCGTGATATTGAACGCTGGCCGCGTTCGAGAAAAGACGCGCACATCGAAATCTGTGTCTGCATTCATTCACTTAAATACGAGTTAATAATTACAAATAGAAATAATGAACAGCCATCGTACGTGTATCTTTAATCTAGAATTATAATTATAATCATAACATCTATTAGACATACATCTATAATTATAATTATAATTTAAGTACTTCGATTGGAATTAATCGTCGATGAAAAGTTGAAAATGGATTCGAATTGATTCTTCTTCTTTTTCTTCTTCCGGCAAAGTAACGCACATTTATTATTACATAATATACACTTATCGGTATCGTTAGGTAATTACGTTAGTAATAATAATGAAAAGTCATTAAGTAACGGGACGGTAAAGTTCATTATTTTTCAAAGATTTTTCTTTTCTCATTTTTTATTTTTACTCTCCGCACACTGTCGCGTTGCGTACGGAATCATAAATCACTGTCTCGCTGAATTTCACACTGACAATGCCTGCCGAACCGCCTGAGGCGTGATCGGGAAGCTTCAGTAAGGTCTCCACACGTCTACCTGGCGGCCATTGTTACCTCTGGAGTTCTTTTCAGACGACGTCACCTCGTCTTTGTGTTTAATTAACGTCAGCGGCGCCTTGCGACCCCGGTGTATCGTGAGATTGACACCCTCTTCTCTGGACCTCCGCGCGGGGACCAGCTCGACGCTCGACGGCTGGCTGTGCGATGCGGGTTTCTCATGCGTCGAGGGTTTCTCCTCCCGCTTGCTGGATGGATTCGTGCTGGCGTTGGCAGCCGGCGTGGTCTTTGCGTCGTCGGGTTTATTTTCGTTACTTGTTGAATCGTCCACGTCGAGTTCCATGTTGCCGGAGCTGTCGGGGTTCTGTGGTGAAGAGCTGCGCGCTAGTGGATGCCGTAGACTCATCCACGTGGATAGTTCCTGTGGGTAGAACTGGGAGTAGAGCCATTGCCCTGGCGGTGGTAGTAGAGGTGCGTTGAGGAATAGACTCGCCGCGAGTGCGTTGTTGAAAAGATGGTTTCCGTGGAGTGGTGGAGCAACACCTGGAAATGCTGGTGGGGGTTGTGGTGAGGGTGTGGGTGATGCCGTCACGGAGATGTCGTCTTCAGCAGGTGAGAGAGGTGCTGTTGTTAGGAGGCCCACTTGTGTGGGTGATGATTTTGGTGAGGTGGTGCTATGCGCCGTACTGCAGTTGATAGATATGGGGCCCAGGGAGGTCGAGCTAGGTTCTGTAAAATCGTCAGGATATGATTAGATGTGAGTATTCAGATTTGCTGAATGATTGACGAACCGTTGGCTATCCTCGGAGAAGTGTTGACGGGGCGATCTAATGCGGCGAACATGTGCGGTGGAAAATGCGGATGGTGATGTGCCACAAACGGACCACCGGGGTACGGGTGTCGAGCTCCCAACATCGCCCAATCGGGATGATGGCCCGGCAGTCCAGCGAGATGGTGGGCAATGCCTAAAAGTAAAGAAAAAGAGATCAAAAATCAATAGTGCTTATGTGTACGCGCCGCACACATCTTCCGGCGGCGGTATTACAGCATTACGGCTACTTTATTAAGAAGACTCCTTTAACGTGTGGGGCCTGTAACCCGTTCGATAGAGCAAGACAGCGCGCTGGGAGCTGGCGGAAGGAAGGAAGGAGATAAGTGCCGGCGAGCAAAAACACGTTCTCGTTGTCGACGTCGTTGCTGGCGGCGACGGTGGCGGCAGCGGCGGCATTGGCGGTGGTGGAAGCGGTGGCGGCGGCTACGAAGGCGCACGGCATACGTATATGATATTGCAGTAAGTCAGGCGATTATTCAGCGCGATGCCAGCGAGGAAAATCAGGTACGAACGAAAGGGTTCACTCTAAGACATCCCATTGGTCGGGAGGGGCTGCCTCAAACCTCATTGGCGCGCCGCAAGGACCTTTACTATCAAGATCTATACCCAGGCGGTCGGGAACATTGCAGGCAAATATCAAGGACCTCGAGACACACTTACGGGAAACAATGCGGGGATATGAAATGCCGCGCGACGACGACGAAATGTTTACCACCACCATACGCCAGGGCCATCGCCAGCGCGCGAGCGAAACGTTTCCGCAATTTCTACACAAACGCGCCGCGCATTTCGTTTTTCTCGCTTTTCACACACACCGACAGAGACCCACACAATGACCCGCACATTTCCAACGACGTCTTCCCAGCGCGCATTTTTTATGCATGTCGCTCGCGCGTTTTTCTTTTTCTTTGCGCGCATCATTCGTCTTAACGTTTGCTCGAGCATAGAAAGAAGCTGATTTTGCATCTGGCGAGCGACATTCTTTTCCTCTCCGGCTTCCACACATATTCGTGCGCATATCAAAGAGCTATTATATCTTTGTGAAGTAGGAGCCAAGTCGGGAGTGAATGGAGTGCGGAAGACCGAGCGATTCTGAGGTCTTAAGGGCATGAGTTATTGTTTAGAGGAAATATGGGATTATGGAGGTTATTATTGAGTCTTTAAGTCCCCTGAAGCTAAATACTGAATCGCAAACACCGTCTGTTTGTCGACGATAATATCGTAAGTCTTTTATTGCGCATTCAGAATTCTGCGAAAATCTTCAATTTAAAATAATAATCGAAGAAGAAGAAAAAAACGCAACCAACGCATTGCAATGAGATGAAAATCCCGCTTCCGCTACTTACACCGCCTCCTGTCTTGTCGAAACTTGTCTCTTTCCTGCAGGTCCTTGATTAATTATTGAGGCTATTGTATATTGATGATGAGCGTTTAAGGGGGATGAATCTTGTTGTCGCCGTTGTACTCATAATACGCGCTTCGACGAGGGGGAAAGCGTGGATGGCGACAAGGACAGCTGGCGCGTGGAAAAAAATGAACGACTGCGCGAGATATAAACTGAAAGTAAATAGGGCAATTTAGGGCGCTCGTTGTCGACTACGGTTGCCGGCGTTGTCGCGAAGGGTCGCCCTTAAGCTCCGGCTCGGATGTCGAAAATTTAGTGAGATTCTCGCGCAATTAAAGTAGCCCTTAAAGATAAGATCCCGTGCTGCGTCGTCATCGCCGCGGCGGCGGCGGCGACGTCTGGCGAGGGCGTAAAAAACATCCCTCGACGTCTCAGTTTTTTGATGCCTTGACGCCGCGTTACGAACAAGGAGTTATCACGACGCAAAAAAAAAAGGAGCAACACAAGCTGATGCCTGTTTGAGCAGAAGAAAAAAAACCAGCACGAGGGGGAAGGGCGGCGGCAAGAGAAAACTTCGTTACGAGGCGTTCAAGACGCGAGCGGAAAAACTTCGTTAAGCCACTTCATGTTAACAATACCGGGGATTTTAGATAGCAAGTGGCCGGGCGTCGTGGAGGTATTTCCGTAATTTGCAGGCAGAAAGAAGTGCCTAACAAGATGAAGATGCGGATGAAGGCCACGCGCGCTTACACACACCTCTAATTGGTATATTTCGTAAATATTTCTGCTATTTGCGTTCAGCGTAAATCAATACGGCGCGCGTGGGCGGCGCGGAGCAAACGCGAAGGTCTGTTGTGGCAACCGTTCTACGTGAGTGAAAATATTTAATTAAGGCGCGCAAAGTGTCTCAAAGTGTCTAAGAGCCTCGACGGCGGCGGCGGCGGCGATGTGTGTGCGCGCGCGATGTTTTGTGTGTAAGAAGAGATACCCTCAAAGTTGAAATAATGAGGGAGCGCGTTTTGCTCTCGGGGCCCCACGTCGGCGGTGTTAGGCGGCTCCGGCGGTGTAGTAATATGGGGGCGGTGTGGCATTTATCTTTGCAAGGGTTTAAGCTCTGAGGTGTTGGCCTGGTGATTATTCACCCCTTCCACCTGCCTTCGCCGTGCTAAATGCGCCTTCTACTAAACGGGGTTAAGACTAATGCCACCTCGGCATTAAAGGGTTTCAAGAACGCTGGCACGCCAACAGCGATAAAACACCACGGCTCACGGCTCACTATGGCGCGCCGCCACCCCCCGAACGAAAGCAGGCTCAAGCAGAAGAGCTTATTACTATCATAACATTTGTCGGAATCATTAAATATCTAATTTTATCGCCCGCGCAAGACACTAATTGTTTGCTTAGTTTATTTTTATTTTTCTTGATAATAATGCTGCTTTTGTAGAAATCAGCTATACTGGTTTGTTGCTTACATCCGGTGCAAAAGTGAAATCCCTCAGCACTTCGACTCTCACCTAGACGTGCGTTTATTTAGCGCGCGCGCGGACGAGAAAGAGAATGCATTAGGGAAATGCGGAAATGGCAAGGGATAAGTCTCGCTGATGGCGATGATGGTGCGAGGCAGTCGTCTTAAGACGTGAATATATCTGGGGCATTAGTTTAACTAAATCTAACTGAAGATGGGGTTACGCATTTACGACTGTAATGAATAATTTTACAGCTCGTTACAGCGCGCCTTTCAGCCCTAAGTTCGCTTAAGCCCTCTACGTGTCCGTATGCTAATGCTGTGTCGACGTCTCAGACGCAGGCGGCGCGGATGCCATCTTTCCCGGGGCGGCGCATTATTTTCGGACTTCGGCGCGTCCTTGATGTCCGCGCTTCTTACGTCGCCGCCAGCTGGCGTCTTTGCGGGCACCACCAACTACACTCCTCGGCTGCTCCGAGCGCACTCACGTATACCGATAACTTTGTTATAACTCAATTATACGCTTTGACACTTCTCGAGCGGCAGGCGCGAGCTTTTGCATTCGTAGGTCTTGTTCGCCGATGTCTAATGCACGACGTCGCGACGCGCGAGGCACTTAGTCTCCCATCGGCGACGGAATTTCTAATGTCTAATGATCGCCGAAGTCCTACAACTGAAAATAACTCGCTAAGTAAACTGATTTCTTCGCGTCCTCAGAGGCGTCGCGGCTGTTTATTATCTATTTATCATGTTGTCGTGTTCGACGCCTTTCAAATACTCAACGTCTAATTGCATTATTACATCAGAAAAGATAAAAAAACATTTTTTTTTAAATTTTTGTTATTGTGTAGAATAAGAGGTCAGACTCTTACAGGAGGGTATCCATGGCGTAAATTTAAGATTTAACAATAGGGAGGCCGAGATCCGGCGAACAAGGGTAACTCACCCCATTCGTATTAAATGTAGCAAGCTCTCTGACTGCGTGGTGCAGCACATGTAATCAGTGAACGCGTGTGTCGGACACCTAACTAATGACATCGCTCCTTTAGCAAATTGCCGAACATTTGCCGGCGTCCCTCGTGTTGTAAATTCAATTCAACGATAGACGCTGGTGAAATCGAAGATTGAAGATCGAAATCAATTAATATTCAATGAGTTTCGCTTTTTTTCCGGCGGCGCGCCACGGAAAAATCAAATAATTACGAGTTTATCACGGCACACGCAGCGCCACCTCCTATGGAATACTGGAAATTAAAAGCGCCGCATTTTCCGCACCTAGGGAAATATTATTCGACATGGAAAAACGCGCGCTTGCCGATTTCTCTTGGCCGCGCTAATTGGAGAGAAACGCGCGCGCGCGCGACAGCAGTATGTGTATATTCATATTGTGAGGAGTCGTAATTAGTTTAATTGGTAATTAGCGATTAATGCGATATGCGTTGGCGGCAACCGATGGTGGGCGCCCGCTTCCTCCGGGCCCTCAAACACGTTACCTCCGAGAGCGCGTTTGTTGTTACGCAGCCCGAACGCATCGCTAATTAATCTCGAGATATAGAAACCCAGCGCGCGGCGGGCGTAGGTAGTACAAAGTCACTTTCGGTCGGCGGGGGATTTTCGGCGAACGCGGATTCGGTATTCGGCGAGCCGCACGTGCGGAGACACTCCGGCTCGCAAACAATAATCGCATTGTTATACGCCGACGCAATCCGCAAGTTTTGGCAACAATTGCGCATCCTTGCACGGTAATAAGATGATCACCAGCAGCGAGACGGCGAGTGTTTATCAGTCGGACGGAGGTAATCGCACGCGCGGCGCGCATACCGCACGGAGGCGGCTAGTCAGATTGCTAAAATAGCTGCCGCCGCCACCATTCCCATCCGCCATAAGCGGCGCGACGGCAAGCCGCGACTGTTCTATTCCGACAATCCGTTTTTAGTCGCCATAGTAACGGACACTCGAATTGAAACGCGCTGGCAAAAGAGGCAATCGGAGGCGCAAGTGGCGGCAATCGCCGGTGGATGCGCCCCCGCGGCAAACGTGGCCGGGCGCGCTGTCGGAATATAATCCGCTTATGCTGGATTATGCACAATAATAGGGTCAAATATTGCGCAAATTGGAATCGTTCAACGATCGACTAATGCAGATCATTCATCTCCATCGTTCCCAGCCGTCCGCGCAGCGCGGATTGTATTGCAAAAATCTATTACGCTCTTCAAATGCTTTTTTTCCATATTTTTTTTCACAATAAAACATAAATTGCGTATATCATGATTATCATCATCAAGGTACTCACCGCTAAGTTTGAAGGGCAGGCCACCAGTAAGTGGGTCCGGACCAAAGGAGCGCGGCCCAAACGGAAAGTGGTGAAAGGTCTGCCGCGTCTTCGAGCGCGGTTCTCGTGGTCCGTCCACCGTCACCTTAATCGCCTTGTTGTAGGTGCAAACTTGCGGCGGCGACGTGGCCATTATAATCGTGAGCGTGAAACTTTTGCCTGCAAAGAAAACCAATTAATCATCCGGTAATTAGTGCACCAGAAACGTCCCGATATTATATTCAACACGAATGAAATTCGTGCGGATTCAAAGCGTGCAGAAAAAAAACGCACGAAATAAAAAAAAAACAGCACCGCATTGTTTTCAGCGAGCCGGCGCTTTTCTTTCACCCCTCGCGCACTTTATAGTCTTCGGTTAGCTGTTAGCTGTTTGTGCGTTTTTTCGTTGTTGGCGTTTTGGTAAACTAGCATTACGCGTTTTTTTCGCGTATAGCCGAGGAGGGCGTCGGCAAATAAAAAACGCATTAATATTTCCATTTGTAATCTCGACTCGCGCTCGTTTTCAATGTTTTTGAACTCGACGAGTGCATGCTTTGTAGAAACGTCTAGATCGGGGAGATAGAGACAAAAGCCGACCGCCACAACTATTATATCGCGTATACAGCGTTTATTTCCGACCCTATTCTTACTGAATGTTCACAATTTAAAAAAACAAAAAAGTTTTTATTTTCAAAAATAACAAAAACGTTTTTATTGGAATTTTTTTAAAAATTGTATTAATACAACACCCTGTATATGAAAAAACTAAATAAATGATTTTGATGACTAGAGAAACCAACGTATTTATGTTTCTCTGGTGGCAGCGCCAGGCATTCTCCGGCTGCGAGTAGCGAAGCCAAGAAAACCAAGAAGTTAATTTTACGGCTCGCCGCAATTCTTTACGACCCAGCACGATGTGATATTAATGCCTCATCGGTGTATCTCTCCAGATATTTTTTCGCGCTGGATTACACACGCGGTATTGGCGGGTTGTTTGGAAAAGCGTCGAATGTAAACAGCGAGGTGCAAACGTTGGAGAGCGCTGAGGTCGGTTTGGTTAGCAGCGAGGGGACGCCTGGACGAGTTGACCGGAAGGATAATTAAACAAGGTATCCCTACGGGTCACGATCAGGACCAAGAGGGCGCCGCGCACCGGTGTGTACTCGACGCTATTTAAGTAGAGTAGTCACACAGGCGCCGGCGAAGAGAACACAATGCGTGGGGGGAAGGCATTAATCTCGTGAATTATGTGCCTTTGGTCGTTATTAATCCTTGATTTATTGATATCCTATGAAAGTATATGAGGAGCCGGCGCGGTGCTTTACGACTGTATTTTTTTAATTTTCCACATTTCCGCGCCAATTACAAAACGCACGCGATTTGATACATAAAACGGCGCGCGTTGCCAATAAAAATTGAGAAATCGACAAAACGGGCGCGCCGAAAAAAACTAAAAACAATAATAATTTTGCATTGAAAAATTGTTGTTTGGCGTGGCGATGATTGATGTATTGTTGTCGATAAACATTGTCGAAATTCCAGCGTGCGTGTGCGTGGAAATTTCAAATTCGAATTCGATAGCGCGGACGCATAAAATATTTTTCTGTTTGCTCGAAGGATTATTTAAGCGCGCGCCTGCTGTGTGTTTGGGGCAGAGACACCTTTTTTTTTCCGGCAGCGGCGCACTCAGTCGAGGCGTATTTAGCCATTTGCGCGCGCTTTTTGTATTATTCATTATTTATTTGTTTGTTTAGTGCAGATTTATATACAAACTCGCGTGTCGTATGAGCGCGGGCGGCGCAGCAAAAAAAAAATCCAATCTCTGCGAGCGAAATTGAAATGTCAATCTGGGTCGAATTTCATACATGCATTATGCTTAGATTCAAAGTGCAATCAATGAATTTTCTCCGGCCACTTGAAAGCCAAAAAGGCGAGCAAAAAAGCAGCAAGCAAAGAAAAGAACAGGCGTGCTTGACGTTGGATGGAAAAGAAAATTTATGAACATGATATTTGGGCAAACAATCTTTCGCGCCTTTCGCGCGCATAACGTGTTTCTTTTGCGCTCGTTTTGCATGCGACCCGAAGTGGGTTGTGTTAAGGACCAAGCACATTATAAAAGCGTGCCGTATAATCCATCATTATTCTCGCCCCCAACGTGTACCCTTGTTCCGCTGTCGCCGCTGCTATCTTCAGCGTCCCCTTTTTTCTGCTTGCGTCTCCTTCGCAGCAAGTTTTTTCAGCGCGCGCGCGCGCCTTCATTATCATTTCGAAATCAACAAGCAATTTTTCATTTTTCGCTCGTGTTTTTTTACCACCCTCAACGCTAAGCGGGCATTGAAGAGGGTGTTAGGCAAAGCGTTTTTAAACGCTTTAAGCATCAATTAATTAATGAAGTTAATTAATCGACAACGTTAAGAATTTCACACAATAAAAAAAATCAAGTTGAGTACTGACCTCGTCCGCTGCGACCAACGAAGCGCAGATCGTTGAATTTGGCGATTTGGTTCTTCATCACCGCCGTGCAGTTCCTCAGCTCTGCGCAGTAATTCTCATCGTTTCCGGCGCGTACCGTGACCAGTGTACCGTCGCCAACATCGCCGAGTGCAACTACCTTGAACGCCACCGGCAGTGTCTTGTTGGACCGCCAATGAGGCGGCAATACGGTACACACCACATGTGGACTGCCCGTGCGTACTAACTCGCCGGGATGCTCGGACAACAGGCCGTCCAAGGTGCGCTCCGCTAACATTTCGGTTGTCAAACCGCTGAAATTGTTGCGATCGTAATGACCGCCCGTCGTCGAACTTACTTCACTAGCCAGATGCATAGTTCTTGAATCAGACGTGTTTTTGCTGCGATGCCGTTACAAAAGCGCGACAAGTGTGCCCGAAATTGTTTGAACACTTTGAGCGCGTGGAAAATCACATATTCCAATGCTCAGCGTTCCGCGAAAAAGTCGAAAAACACTTACGTACCACACGCACTTAAAAAATCGTTCGGGAGACTTGGGGTTGGTTTGAGCGCTGCTGAAGAATGTCGAGTCGTAACGCGAAACCAATGGACCACAAAAGTCTTTTGATCTGATGTCGCCGGCGCGGACGATTTTTCTTCTTTATTTTCGCGCGCACGATTCTGACGGAAATCAAAGCGACAATTTGACGAATGTTCCCTCGACTTCTTTTTACTTATTCTTCGCCGGGCGTCTGGGACATCATGCGGCGGCGGTTGCCGAATGCCAAACGCGAACACGATGCGACGTGCTGTTACGCAGCGCACACTTAAAGTCTTCCACTAAACAAACACCAAAGAATTTTCACTTTTTAACTTTTCCGGCGTGCGACGCACACGTTCCGAGTTTTCTTCGTGCTGCGCTGTGCTCCGCCGTCAACTGCAAGAAAAGAAATGTTCCTATTAATTATTTCGCACGCGTTGTAATATATATTTTCTTGTTTGGCGAGAAGAAAAAAAAAATTGCAAGGCGCAAAGTGTGCGCGTCGCGCGTATGCTATCGGGTTAGTGATGTTTCGCGTAATGTGGATGCGGTGCGAACGTTTGCACTACGTCGTTTCGCAGCGTGTGTATGAAAATTTTTTAATTCGCACATGTAGATCGCCGACACAGGCGCGCACGCCGCCGGAGATATGATGAAAAATCAGGCCGGCCGTGATTTTACCGGGTAATGTGGTGGTGGCAGACCACACATGGAAAAGTGCGCGCGTGAAACTCATCCCCGGCGTTGGTCTTTTTTTCGCACGGCGCGGCCGGGGGTCGTACGTTATACCCCACTCGCGTGCATGTGCCCTCCGCGCGCGCTCGCCGCCCCTCATCACCACCGACACATACGTGCGTCGCGCGGCCGACGCTCGCGTTTTTAACTTTTTCCCATATTCGGCCCGACCACCCCTGTGCCATCGCCGGTGTACGTGCAACACGCGCGCGGATGTGTGCGCGCTCTCCCTAATTACCAGCCACTCGGCCTCTCATCGGGCCCGCTCACCAATACGCGCGGATGCAAATTACATGCTCTCGTTGTTACATCGCGAGCCAACGCAAACCGGCCGCCACCGCCACTGCCGCGCCGCGCGTTTTACACGTTTTACACGCGATCCACGCAACAGTGATCGTTTTTCACAAAAATCGCAAAACAACTGCGCGCGCTCAAATCGGGAATCGAATGAAAAGTAACGAATTAAACAAATGGCACTCAATAATTACGCCGCCGAAATTAATTTAGATTTGACCTGCGCGCCGGTCGAAATATTGCCGTGCGCGTTTTCAACTTTCGTTTCGTCAATTTTTTTTTGTTTGCTGCTCTGGCAAGAAGCATACGGATCTATTTGACATTTGAACGGTGCGAACACGCGACCGAACGTGCGAATCGTTGTTAATAAAGGTCTCGGAGTGTCATTCGATACGTTACTCACATATCAAAAAGGGCACCGCTTTAAATTAATAAATAACTCCCTCAGAGTCGCTCGTCGCTGGCTCAGGCCGAAGGGGAAGCGCTCGACGGCTGTTGCGCCTCCGCGCTCCCGCATGAGCGTCACGTTCGCGAGAAGAAACGGATCGTAACACCACGCACATGAAGACAACAAGGGGATGCTGCGGATGATTCAGCGGCACAAATCAGCTGATCTGCATTTGAATTTCTCTTGCAACTCTCGCACACATCCTGCATGTTGTTTCACTTGAACTTTTCTTATTAATTTCATGCATGAAAAATAACTTTTTCACAACTTTGACGATTGTTTAGTCTGAATAAGTTTAAAGTGACTTTATTGAAATGTTGAATTTACTTACTTGATTTTTATAAATAAATAGATATCCGTGAGTGGATTGTTAATCAACAAGCATGATGATGTCGGTGGCGAATTAGCGGTCAAAAGTTGTCTGCGACGGCTCGGAGCGGAGGAAGTTTCGCGCGAAACCAAGAGCGAACGTCTGCGGCCGGCGGCGACGCGCGATCGTTAGCAGTTCTTTTCGCGGCGCGAGGTGATCTAACATTAAGAAGTATAAAAGTGCGTCCGCGGGGGTGTAATACTTTGGGGGATTTTTGCTGCGATGGGGGACGCGAAGGCGCGCGGGGCGCGCTATGGCAAAAAGGGGGTGAGTGTCGGAATAGGCGGGGCATGTTGAGGTAGACCGCCACCGCCGGCGTCGCCGCCAACCAGGAAAGACGCTGGATTTTTACCCCCTCAAACCATCGTCGTTTCTTCGAGGTTTACCAAAGAAGCGAACCTCACGCAGGCGCTATCTTCAAGACGTCTTTTCGGGTTTTCTGCCGCCGGCGCGTCGCGCGCCTCCCGCGCTCGCCGTCCCACTCGCACGCGTACCCAGCGCCGGCCCCGAAACGACGCCGCAACGTTGGCCAAGTTTCGCCCTCGTGCTTCCCGCAACCGCGCCGTCTGTGTGCGGGCGTCTCGCTTCTTCTTCCACCCGACACCGCCGCCGCCGCCGCCGCCACCGCCACCGCCGCTCGTGCAACCGCGTCTTCGCGTCGGGCCCGGTCGCGCGGTCGTGATTTCTTTTCGCGCGCTCTCGCTCCCACGCGTTTTGCTGGCGCGCACGGGACGACCGAAAGGAGACCAACCTGCACACGCAAACATTCATCGGGCTGTCCTCCACCACGCCGCCGGTGTGTGCGCCCACCACCGCCGCCGCCGTGCGGCACGCGGAATGACTCGCCTCAAACCGCCGCCTCGCCACGCGGCCTCGTTCGATGGCTAACTTATTACCGCCTCTCTCTTGCACTTGCCAAACACAATTTAATCAAACAATTCTTTAATCAACAAAAAATAATCAATACGTTCATGTCACGGACGTCTTGTTTAATGAAGGCGCCTACACATCGTGTCAAAACGTGTTGCGCGGCGAAATTCACGCGAAAAATTTATTTCGGCGTTTCTAATTTAGTTAATCTGTGTGCTCGTTGAGAAACACAACTGCTCCCTTTACGCCCGCCTCTGTTTTCCGTCTGTCGACTTTGAATTTCGCGTCGCGCCCGTCTTAACGTCACTCATTCGGGGTGCGCGTGAAGTGTGTGCAAGAAAACAATGAAAGGAGTTAAGTGCTGCCAGGCGTGCTCATGCGAGATGCCGCTCGAAGGGTAAAGCGCGTTTTCGGAAAATAATTTAAATACAAAGAGAGCGCGCGCGATTTTCGGCGTATTTCGGCGCAAATTGCGTGAAATCCGCTGTCGCCTCGCGCAAAATCGCATTCCTCACGACTCCAATTGATGACAAGTGCTGTCAAACAATATTTAACGCCCGCTTCGCAATTCGTTAACAAGTACCTACCCTCTCAGCGCACGTTTTATTCTCACTGCGAGCGAAACACATTCGGTTACTATTGACTTTTGAAAGAAAGCGCACAGATTTGACCGAATGAAGCATTCGGCGTGGGTGGACGACACTTGCTCACCATTCTTTGTCATAATATCACATTGAGGGTAAATGTCACCCGAAGGAGTTCCGTTCCGTCGCACTATTTCGTCTGGAAAGGTTATCCTCCTTGCTCGAAACAAAAGGGTTAAAACAATACAAAAGAGCTTTTAAGCGGGATTAGAGCCGGGCGTTTTCAAGAAGGATTAAGCTCCTCAGCATATACTCCGGAGCGCAAGGAGCCGAAGCGCAAATGATATTTCGTGATGGGGTTGCGACGCGCTCGAGCGCCCGAGCGCTGGAAAAAGGGTGCGCCCATAATAGCGCGGTAGTGCGCGACACCAGACGAATATTATGTGACAAATTGCACATTATTGAAAAGACAAGGAGGGCGTGCAGTAAGCGCCTGTTTTGACGCGTCTTGCTCCACTCGCATTAAGAAAAGAGGTGCAAAATAGGGTATTTAGTTTAATGACGATGGCGTTCGCGTTAAACTTTTCGCCGAAAACCCAACACGCGTATTTCAATCCTTGCAAAACTTATGAATTTCATTTAAATAAGAAAATTTCTTATAAAGAACTTTTTGACATTCTTACACAACTAAAATTTCTGGAATTTTTTCTACGAGTAAGTTTTGTTCATTATTCTGAGTCACGTTTCTCACCTGTTTTTCCATGTGAATTTTTGTGAATGCGCCGGTCATAAAACACCGATGCCACAAATCTCCTTGTTGAGTTTACATCGGTGGCTGCTGAAACAGGACCACGAGCATGCCACAGTTTCAATCTTTACTTGAACATATACTTTAGTCCTGAAGCATTCAATTCAATCGTGTCTTGTGCATCTTTTTTATTTTGTTGTATCTCGCAGGATCGGCTTAAAAAATTTCTAAAAAATTTTATACTTTTTCATAAATTTTATTTATATTCACAAAAAAAAATTTATTTTTTAAATTTTTGTGTTTTTGAAACAATTTTTCCAAAATGCACCACTTGTTTATTGAGTTTTCACCGTGCACGTTCGAAGTCAACGCACTACATCTTTTTATGATCCTATTTCCATGACCGTATGTGTTTCAGCGGCGGGGGCGCGCTTCATTGCAATGCAGGCATAAAGTATCAAGCGTGGCGAATGTGCAAAAAAGGGGGTAAAAGATTGGCCGGGCAAATTGGTCCCTGAAGACGCATCAACGTTAAATGTCAAATCGCATATTGCTCCGACAACAGATTGATGTTTTCTTCTTGTTTTCATCGCCGTTACCATAAAAATATTTTTCATTTTTCAAATCCAGCATGATAGTAAAACGGCGCGTCCCCAACGCTTGACTAAACAATGAACTTTCTGCGTTTTATCGCGGCTAGTTTTATGCGAATCTGCGCAAAGAGGAAACACAAAAAATATCTGTTTCGGAGGGTCATGAGAACACGAATACTCGCCTGGTAAATTGAATTCCCAATTTAAAATTTGCTAATTCCTCTAATCCGCAGCGCCTTGCCGGCGTTTGGCAGAAAGTAGCGAAGCGAAAAATGCGGAGCGCGTCTGAGATTCGGAAAAATTGTAGTCTCGTTAACGCGACAAGAGCCAGCGCCTCGAAGATGGTCGCCATGGTACGCCATCTACGTACAGGCGCTGGTTGATAATCAACGACGTGCCTCGTCGATCTTTCGAGTCCTTTCTTCGGCAAGACGAATTCATTAAGCCGACGTGCTTCTTAGCTTGCACAGTCTTCGAATGGCTGCGTCGTCGTCATTAGCTTGAGATTTAATGATGTTTCACGCCAGGATGGATCAGGATCCACGTCGTTCGGTGTCTCCGCGCGCGAACGCTCCACTGCGTCGCCCGTTCGACACTCCAGTTAAGTTAAAATTTAACGATTTCATGCGAATCTTGCACCCACCCTTCGTGCTCCATCTTCTCCATCTATTAGGAAATCGTCAGCACAAACATCTTGTGTGTCAATACGCTTAATTCGGAATGCATATGTATTTATGAACCTAGTTAGAAACCTTGGATGGCGATTTAGGAAATTTTTGGAAACCAACTTTAAGTCCAACTCCAAGCCGGATGGGTATCAATTTGTCGAAGTCGATAAGTCGAATTGATCCTAATTCAATCCGACGCATAAGGACCTTCGGGGTGTTTTAGGAGTCGGAACGGCCGGGCGAGACAATGGAAGTTGAGATCGGGTCGCATCTGGCCAAGGCTCCGGGCCGGTCGGCCATTCCCATGGGTGTTCTCCTTCCAGCTCGCAGGAAGAACGCCGGCGGTGTCCTGGCCGAGCGTCCGGTCGTTGGAGGCGGGGGTGTGCTCTCCGTATGCTCGCAATTGTGCCCGTCTCCGAAGTGCCGTGGCGCAAAATTTAACTGCCACCTCATGATTGCCCTTGTCCCTTCCGCTTTTTACAACTGCGACATGATTCGAATCAATGATTACAATGTCTCCTCAGACGACGCTCGTATCACATGTGGGTCCGAAACACGCGCGCCAACTAAAAAGATGATTGTAAATTGGGTTTTAACGAGTGGCGGATATCAATCCCCCGGCGTCGAAGCATCTTGTACGACAATCGCGCCGACGCTCGGCAGGCTGCTAAACGCCGAAAATAAAAAATAAATGAAATAAGAACGAAACAAGTTTAAGGGCCCGTGCGGCGCGCCGGAGCGGACGCCACCTTCGGGGGCATTAAGATTAAGAGCGTTCGTTCGCCACGGCGTTGCGAAAATCGTAAATTTATTCTTTATTTATATCGGCACGCCTGTGACGACAAAAAGTATATGGAGCTTTCTTAATCTAGTTTTATGAGCGCCATCGTAGCGCGTACGGCGCATTAAATTGAAAATTTATAGTTCGATCTTAATTGCCAATCGGCAAACGACGATTTCATTTCATTTTGCGATCTGACGTTTGCCAGCAGCATAAACGCGTGAATTTACGTGTGCAACCGTAAAAATAATAATGTTTCATGACACCGACATACCATGCACAAGACAACATTGTTGTTGCTGTGTACACACACGGCAAGAAAACGTCGATGCAAATCTAAAAATCAAAGGGTGCCAGTATTTGCTCAACGCCAGCGGCAGCGCTCGTGCCAACCGAATACCGGGGAGTCGTTTGCGTTTACGCTGTCTGCGAGCAGAGGCTTTCGAAAAAAAGGCGTAATAAAATATTAAACAAGCAAACACACTGCTAGAATGCCTTCGACTGTCCCAGACCGAACAATGTGCGCACGCAAGCACCACCAAGGTGAAGAAGTGTCGGTGTACACACAATATTTCGAAAAAAAATGCATTTTGTACAATTTTTCAAACGAAACACGTGAAAATGAAAAAATGTGTGGATTGCTGACATCAATGGGGTTGTTAATTAGTAACAACGGTAGAAAATTTGTATCTTTGATTCATTTTCCACTGACTGCTTGCAGAGTGGAAACGGTTAGACACACGTGCATGGGTAAAACGCAATCAGCGCCTTCGTTCGAAGCGTGAATTGCGAATAGTGAATAACATCGGCGATGGATTATTTAGGTGATTCCCGTGTGGGGCGCGCACACAATACGTCCCGCTGCGAAAAAAAGGGGCACGCAATCAAACGCAAGCAAATGTTGACCGAACTACTTGTCGTTAGAATATTGGAAGAATAACTTAAAGTTTCGCTTGCTTCACGCGCGCGCACGTTTTTCCATGGTTTCCGGTGCGTTTTCACCGAATTTCAAAATTGTATTTATTTCGTGCGAAAATTCAACTGAAACTCGCAACTCGCTTTCTTGCCACCTTGCCTGCAGTGTCGGGGAACATAATGTTGAACTGAAACTAACTTAGTTAATTGTTTCTAATTGGGGGTGACACTTGGAGGTGTCTCTGAAAGTGACTTCGTAGGCAAATTAAGTTTTCGAAAAGTTTACGCCGCCGTTTACCGCTCCGTCTGGCAGTTAAAGTTGCGCGCAAGAAAGTGTGGCGCGCGTATACAGGCCGCGGCCGGAATTCGGCGCGCCCGTATTGAATTTCGGGGGTGTGCTAGGTGCGTCTGGTTTCCTTGGGAGCAGTTTCCACCCGGACCCTGGTGATGGCAACTTTGACGCGGCACACGACGCCGACGGATCGTCATAATCGCACTCGATGGTACTTTATTAAAAACCTCTTTTCTGCTGCACGTTCGGCGGACTGCATCAACGCCAAACTATGATTACTTATTCAGTGCGATGCCACCCCAATTTGGCAGCCACTCTCCTGCTACATGCCAAGTGGGATGGGGTGGACGGGCGTGCGACACACAACGCTTGCAACTTTCTAATTGCTAATGGTCAGACGAGCGCGCCGAAAAACCCTCCAACCCTTTTCAATCGGCGAGAGTGTGACCGCGCGCGCATCTCAAAAAACCCTCTCAAGAAAAAGAAAAAATACGTCTTTGAATAATTGAATATTTAAAGGAAAGTTTTATGCGGGACCTAAAAAGCTTACGCTTGTTTGGAATTTATTCTGCTTAAAGGGATCCGCTCGACGGCGCGCTCCAGCCTCGCCTATATATGGGCTCTTGAATTAATGATCGTCCTTACATTGCTGATTAGAGATTCATCGCTGTGTACGTACCGAGCACGCCGGCGTGTATGCTAGTTATATGACTGCATTAACATTTTATTAGGCAGATTTAAGGATTTTCTATTATATGAATCGTGCGCGCTGAAGGCGAATAGCGACGGCAATCAACTTATCTCTCGGCAGACGTCGCGCCAAGGTGGTAATTAACATTCAACGACTAGATCTCCGCCGAAATACGAATGCAGATAAAACGTGAAAAGATCAGAGAAGGCACTACACGCGTGATTCGTTATTACTTATTAATCGCACTCATAAAGGTATTATTTCTTCAGCGTCTACTCAATGCAGATCCTTTCTAATAAAATTTACAATAACAATCATTCTTTGTTTATTATCAAATAAATTACTTACGCGTAAATGTCTATTGGCTTTTGTCCCCGATAGAAATTGATATCAATGTAATAGATCATGTTTTGAGGTAGTTTACACACCGGCGCAAATTGCGTTTGCCGATAAGTAGCAGGTGGCAACAGAGGACGACATAGCAGGCGGCGAAAAAAAAAAGAAACTCGGCACACGTTTCCATTTGGGGAAACTAAAGCGCCTGAATCATTGATGCTGAGGGAGTCTTTTATGTAGGCGGCGTGATAAGATATCTTACATGTCCGTTGCGATTAGAATGCAGGGCGCCTCGTGCGTCGCAGGTCGTCGGCGGCGCTCCCGTGGGATAGCCACTTTGCATGGGACTCGCCGCCTCCCACATACGTAACCCGCATATCCGATGACGAGTCGAGGCCAGCGCGCGAAAGCCAACGAGATGGCGAAGACGTGCGTACACGTGTCGTTTTGCTACCTCTTTCAGGTGGTGATGTGATGGTTTATGTTCTTTTTTGGCAAAACATTTTTTCTCGGTTATATTTTTACATTTCATGAAAAAATACACGTGGAAACTTGAATTTAGAGCTGAAAATTTCAAAATAAAAGAAATTTTGCACGTTTTTTGTTTTAATTTTTGCCAAAACTCAAAATTTTGCTGTAAAACTTTGAGAAATAGAAGTTTTTCGAAAATGTCCTTGTCGTAGCTGAAGTTGTCTAATATCCTAAGGGAATAAACAAAATATAGTAATACAACATATTGCGTTATGCGCCGTGTGCGGCGGTGCGCCGGCGAAAAAAATACGCGCACGGACGCGTCGGATGTCGGTAATAAGCGTCATAAAATATGTAAAAGTTTAATGAATATTTGCCGTTCGCGTTGCATATTCGCCGAATAATTGCGCGCAAAAATTTCAAACGTCGGCGCGCGGCTAAGAGCCGGGAGTGCACGCCGCTGCCGGAGATTACAAGTTTTCTTTTTAGATACTCATTAAGCATTCCGTTTCTGCAGTTCTGGGCTCCAGTACCTGCAAGGAAAGTGGCTGCGCCAAAGTGAAAAAAAGGCAAATAGATTCGCCAAGTGTAGAAAAAAGAGGAGCGCGCGCAAGGCGTGAGGGGCGCGTTTGTTTTGCTTTTTTTGCATTTTTCGTTTTGTTATTCATTTTTAATGAAGTTGCCCTTTTGGGCTGGAAATTACCACCAGGCTTGAAATGTGCCGACATTTTTATTCAGATGGATATTATCATTTCCATGCATTAGTGTTGGAAGGAGTTATTCTTCCATTGTTTAAATACGTTGTTTTATTTGAACAACAAACTGCATATTTTTTTGTATTCTCGCCGTGTACACTTGCTTAATATAATTCAATAGTGTGAATTTAGATGGAGCTAATGTGCACATATTGCCTTAAATCTAAAGCAGGGTTGCGCAGCACATTGCTTGTTTTTGTCAGTCGGTATCAGTCGGTGCGTGTTGACTTACATGGTGACGATTTTTACTTGCTGCATGAATAAATTGGCTGTTTTTATCAGTGAGTTTGCATTTAATTAAATGTTCTCAACCGTGTTCGTGTGTAGCCATGTGCTGCGAGAAAATTAAAGTTTAGCATTATTAAATACCTTGATCATTCATATAAAGAACGTCAACATATGATTCTAAACAACAAAGTAGTCATGCAGACCTCTACCAACTCAACAATAAAATGATGCTTACTTGTTATTTTGCTGAATACAGAATTTGAAACGATGAATCTGAAAAATTCTGAAGGATTCTACAAAATTAAACAAGGTAAGTCAAAATTAATAGTTTTCTTGCTAGAAAAATTTACTAACAAAACATTGAAACAAAAAGGTTTATAAATGAACATATTTTTATTAAAGATTCAGTTCGGTTCACATATTTATATCAAAATTTATAATTGTGCTATCCTCTTATTCCAAAAGTGCAATCATCACAAATCTAACGTTAACATTCACGCCCCGTCAGTAAAAGGTCGTGAGTTTGATATTCGATCAAGTATAAAACAACGAAACAGGAGATAAATTACAAGGCGCTTTCAATTTTATCACATATTTCAAGCTCAAACATAGCAATAATTCGATTACAGTATAATTTAACAGTTACAGAATACGGAATGTAACCCTTTTCAATATAAGACACCTGTTGAAATTCATTTATTGTTTGACTCGTTGCAAATATGCAGCCCAGAGTAAATCTTTGTACTCCTTTGCGGCGTTTTCCGGATTGCCAGCTTTGGTGATTCCTCTGCCAACCACAGCTACATCTGCACCGCCTTCCAGGATAACCGAAGATGGCGAATTGTACTGCTGGCCTAAATCATCACCGCTAACACCCAGCTGGACACCAGGTGTCAATTGCAAATACCCCGGTTCATCAACAAATAGTTTCTGCTGGCAGACATAACCAGCGATCAAATCCGAATAGTTCTTTCCCATTGTAATGGTTGCGTTGGTATACTTCTCATCGATAAGACTTCCCTTGGCGCTGCACTCAGCTAGCAAGAACACTCCGAGTTCATTGGAGCCTCGAGCCAACAGCAACGCGTCTAGGACACCATGTCCAGTCAATGAGTGTGCAGTGACCAGTGAGGCCCATGAAGCAATCTTATACACGCCTCTTGTATACTGATATTCGACTGTTTTTCCAATGTCAGCAAACTTGCGGTCTTCGAACAGCAAAAAGTTGTGCTTCTTGGCGATCTGCGACAGAGTGCTGGTAAAATTGTCGTTGAAATGCTCCACGATGTCGACGTGCAACTTCAGGGAGCAGATATGTGGGCCGACTGATTCGGCAAGGTTCAGAATATCAGTGGCGTCGGTCAAATCAGCAGCAAGGACAAGATTCGTCTTCTTTTCAATTATGATCTTGAAAAGGCGCTTGGCCACTTCGTTCTTAGCGTAGGGAAAACGATCCTCGAAAGTCATCTCCAGGCGTTTGCTGCGCTTTGTCACGACAGAATTGGTGGTGACTTGAGAGTTTTTCAAATAGTCCCCAACCTTCTTGCAGCTTTCTTCGGTGACGCATCCAGCGTCTTTCAGATATTTCATTAGAGAAGTCATAGTGAGAAGAGCATGCATCTTGATTCCATGTTGTGTTAGAAACTTCTCACCGCCTTGTTCGCGATTGAGAAGCACAATTGCATCAGTCACCTTCATTCCTTCTTTGATTAAATCTTTTGTGGTCTCTAAAATGTGAAAAAATAATAGTTTAACAATGATCTAATCCAGATCCCATGAGACTGATCAATCATGAAATTAAATTTCACAAAATACATGCATTGGTCAATATTCTTCTGATTTAAATAGAAATTTACCTAAAATACTGCTGCCAGAGGTGACAACATCTTCAATAATCAAACATTTATCTCCCTCTTGGAAGATGCCCTCTATGAGTTTCTTGGTGCCATAATCCTTGGCTTCCTTTCTTCTCATCACCATGGGTAGATTGGTTTTAAAAGACACAATTGTTGCAATAGGCAAAGCAGTGTACGGCACACCACAAATTACTTCTTGGCTCTCAATGGTGTGAAGAGTGTCAATGATCAGGTCAGAAAGGATACCCTAGTTTAAGAACACCAACATTAGTATACATATTACCGATTAACAAACTTGGACGTTTCATCAGACAATAAATAGACTGAAAACCTACCATAATTTTCGGATAGCTAACCAAGACGCGAAGGTCGCAGTATACAGGTGTCATGAGGCCGACTTTAGTCTTGTATTCGCCAAATTTGATTGCGTTTATCTTGAATAGTTCCACAGCAAACTCTTTCAACCTTAATTCGCGCTGTTCCATCGTGCTTAGTGGTATAAACTGGAAATTTGGAAACGAAATTAAAATAAACGTTCTAACCGCGTGTTGAACGTACGCCGCTGTTTGGATCAAATGCAGAGGTTGGATTTTTCAATGGCAGGCAACCACGATGACAGCAATGTACTTCATCTCTCCAGAAGTTGTGAGCAGTTGTTAACAACATTTAGTCGTTTAAACATAGATTTACAATTTACACTTTATGTAAATACTAATGTAATCAGCAGGTAAATATCAACGTTTTTACAATAGACCAAAATCGTGTATGCACTGATATTTTATTCATTTTCTGTATCAGTTACTAGCTTCTTGCTTCGTGAACATGCTTCATGGGACTAATTTTTGCCTGTTTTAGGTGCCCAGCCTCTTGAATCCAACCACACTGGATAACAGCTTGTTTCAGATTGTTAGTTTTGAAATTCTTTATTGTTTTCATATATAAATTTTGTGATTAACACACGCATAGACCCCAAAAATTGCATGTTTGTGTTATATGGGTCTAAGTTTTGCTGGTTTTAGGAGTTTAACACCTGAACCCCACAACATAAGAGAACATATTTTGATTTTATTGAATTCAATCGAATTTATTTATCATTTACATAAATAACTTTAGTGAATAGCTCATTAATTAGCAACGAAAATTGCATTTTTGTGTTTCGAAAGACTGATTTTTGCTTGTTTTTGGTGTTTTGCACCTGCGGCCGATATCGTAGAAGAATCATTCTTACATCAGACTGTAAGTATTGAATTTATTTAACATTTTCACTGCAATACTAGCACAGTGACTAGCTCATTCATTAGCAAGCGAAATTGCATTTTTGTGTTCGAAAGACTGATTTTTGCTTGTTTTGGTGTTTTACCTACGAGGCCATTAACTCGTAGAGATCATTCTTGCATCAGATTGTAAGTATTGAATTGATTTATCATTTTCATAAATAACTTTATTGGGTAGCTCATTAATTAACTAACTTGAAATTTTTAGTTTTGTGTTTCGAAAGAGACTGATTTTTGTTTGTTTTGAGTGTTTTGCACCTGAGGCCAATATCATTGAAAAGAACCATTTTGCATCTAGATTGCTTGGTATTGAATTTATTTATCATTTTTCATAAGTAACTTTAGTGATTGGCTAAATTAATTAGCAACCGAAAATTGCATTTTTGTGTTTCGAAAGACGATTTTGCTTGTTTTGGGTGTTTTTGCACCTGAGGCCGATATCGTAAGAAGAGCCATTTTGCATCAGATTGTAGTATTGAATTTATTGCTTTTATTTTCTAAATAACTTTAGTGATTAGCTCATTAATTAGCAACGAAAATTGCATTTTGTGTTTCGAAGACGATTTTTGCTTGTTTTGGGTGTTTTTGCACCTGAGGCCGATATCGTAGAAGAGCCATTTTTGCATCAGATTGTAAGTGATTTATTTAACATTTTTCAAAATAACTTTAGTGATTAGCTCATTTTAATTACTTAGCAGTACATTTTTTGTGTTTCAGACTTGATTTTGCTTGTTTTAGGTGTTTTTGCACCTGAGGCCGATATCGTAGAAGAACTTCGTTCTTGCATCAGATTGTAGTATTGAATTTATTTACATGTTTTCCTTAATAACTTTTATTGATTATCTCACAATTGACTCCCAAAAATTGCAGAATTTTATGTTCAGAAGCACTAATTTTTGCTTGTTTTAGGGATTTTGCACCTGACTCTAACATCATAAGGACCATTCTGGCATCCAGTTGATAGCGTGTGAATTTTCAATATCTTAAATAACTTGTGATTATTGCTACACAAGGTAGGCTGAAATTTATGCTTGTGTTTTCTTTGTAAAGGGCATATTTTAAAGTTTTCTAATTGCATAAGTATTTCTGCTTATTTCTACCCTGATCACGTATTTAACGATCCATCCCAAACCATTTATTTTTTGAAAAGGGTGCATGCTAGTGCTATATCATTCCGACTTCCCCAACAACCAAAATTTTGAGCTTCGGTCCGTCGCCTGCGAAGGCAACTACGGCCACTAGTTACCGCGAAAACTTTATCGGCCTCCTCAACTTTCTACGATCTAATATTCAATCTTTTCATTTTTGTCGACTTTGGAAGGCAAAATGACACAAGCCCCGGACTACGAAACGATTCGGCCTCGGGTTTTTGGTATTTCGGATCGCCAGAAGGTGAGGTATGTAAAGGCGGTAACTAGTAAACGAGTAAATGAATATTTCAAAATTTTTATTCAGCAAATTCGGTTTTCGGATCTCGACAACTTCGAGGGCTACTTGAAGAAAACCGAACTATAATTAATCAGTGTACAAGAAAATTCTCTGAGGTGGCATCATTGTTGAAAAATCATCAAAATGTCTACCAAAAATTTTGCAAAAAGAAAGATTTTGTTATAAAAGGCAAAAGATTTCTCTTTTATGATGAAAATTAAAAGTTGAAATTTTTGAATTACGAAGTATTATATATAATAATTTGGCGGGAACTGTCTATGTCCACTTTCTGCGTTCCCTAGCATACACTACAGACGATGAACAGCAACATTTCAGCAAATTTCTCGACAAATTTTGTCGAAATCCATTAGTAGTAGTAACAAATTCTTTTGTATGGGATCGCAGAAGTGCAAGGCTGGTGGTAGCAGGTCATTCAGGCATGCTGGCAATAGTTCAGTTACTCATGGATAGATGACACTGGTGATACCATTTTTAGGTAGCCATTGATACAAATTGACTTTTGAATTATTTCCCATATCTAACAGTGGCATTACCATTTAAGTTTAAGGAATTTATGGATTAATTAAAGGGTAACGGTGTTGCGAACTATGTCCCCATTTGGAACAAATAAAACAATAAAATTTATAGTTAAAAATATAAAATTGTTTTATTGAAACATGTAGAATCACAAACTCAATTTCTCAATATATACACCATTTTAACAAGAACATGCATGAAAACAGAATAATAATAGCCGGAATTATATAATGCTCTTTTATATCTTTAACAAAATGCGCAAATGATATCAATATCAACTTCAAAAATGTTGTAAATTCATTCAATCGTATTTTGGAATCATCATCTAACACCGGCAATCCAATATTCAATTTCTTTTGGACACTCTATAAATCAGAAGAATAACAGAATAGTAAAATATAAAATATTATGAAGTACCAAATAACAACATACGTTCTGGGTATTTTAGTCCAGTTACGACTGTCCATCTTCTGATATAACCTGCCATAATCCTCAATACGCACGGAACCTCTCCGGATTGGTCCTTATTATTAAAGTTGTCCATCTCAGGGATTGTAGTAGCCATTCTCAACAACTGGAAAAATGTTTATGTGAAATGAAATATACGCACTACATAAATTAAATTGAGTATTCTTAGGATCCATAAAGAATCCCATTTAAGACGTTACTTGCCCTCTTAAATGGCGAAGATAACGATGAAGTGACTCCCATTCAGGGCACCGTACGAAGATTGTAGCGGTAGAAGTTACACCCATTTGGGGCACCGTAGATGGGTAGCGTTAATACGTTTACGTTAATTAAGAGCTATCAGACTCCATAATTTTGGCGGTACTGTAAAAAACTCGAAATTTAAAACAACTTGCATAAGTATGCGAAGACAAAACACGAAAAGTATCACCACTTTTGATAGAAATAATGTACATTAAACGCGGCAATAGTAAATAACAGCAACGGGACATCCTCTAATTTTTCTCATTTGTTCAAAAATTAAACGCGATAGAAAAACAGATTAAAAATTCACTTAAATTAGGGAACGTTTTCTACAAAAAATAAGATAATTAAATTGAAATTTAAGAGATAAAATTTTAATTCACATGAAAAAATGGACAGGGGTGGGAACACACAACTCTCAATATAATTCGGGTTACGGAATTTTCACGCAATAAATTTCGACACCCAGGAAGATAAGGAAATTAAATTCGCAGCAGGGAAGTATTTTAACTTATTCTAGCATCGCGTTCACGTATTGCTTACTAAAACTACATTTCAATACAGGAGAAAATATATGAATTGAATAATACGTTAACTCGTAAAACTTACCAGTGTACGGCTTATCGGACTGCCGGGCACAACGAATGCTGTAACTAGAAGCGAAAAACATTAATTAAAACAAATATGGCTCATATATTTGAATTATGTAATTAACAAGCAGCTTACAAAATAAACAATCTGTGCTGTTAAAACATTACTTACACGAAGGCCTCATGGATCTTTCTGAATGGGCGATAGATATATATGCGATTAATTTAGCAACGACACCAAACTACAATGCCGAGTGAAGGAATGTTTTCAAATCACTATCACGTGACTTTGTAATATACACTTAACAAACGCGATCAAAACGGCATTTCTAGCAAACAAATTACTATAGTCGCAAAGTACAAATAAATAGTCGATTGATCTTCAGTATAATACAAATTTTTGAATATTAAAGTCCGAATAAACGATATAAGTCTCTCAAAACACGACTGTGATAACCGGCGACCGGCTTGCAGAAGCTACGCAATCCACCGATAGTGCATGCCGAAACTGCGTAAACAGATAAGATAAAATATAAAAGTAGTACTCAGTATTTCCACAGAGCAAAGGTCGAAAAACGCGGTAAAAGTTCGAAAAACGCGACTAAAAGTGCTAAAAGTGACATTTATCAATTTTGCCCATTTCAGGTAATCGCGAATATCTCTAAACTAAAAGGAATGAGTAGATCTGATCGCAGCGTCTTAATCTACACTGGACAAGCTATCGAATAGGATAGTTAAAACGGAAATCTGGGAGATGTAATTTTGATTCTTAAGAAAAAATTGCCAAAGGGGGTGCTGATAGTTTTTCGACTATTTTCAAAAATTCATATCACTAAAAGAAGATAGCTACTAACGAATTGTGACGTTATGAAAGATTGGAAGAAGATTCTCTATCAGAACAAAATATAAATAATTTTCCTACAGTAAAAGGTCGAAAAACGCGACTAAAAGTGCCTAAAAATTGACATTTATCAATTTTTTGCCCATTTCATTCAATCGCGAATATCTCTAAACTTAAAAGGAATAGTGGAATCTGATCGCAGCGTCTTACAGACCAGCATCTCTATCAGATAGGCTATTTAAAGTGGAAATCTGAGAGATGAAATTTTAAATCTTAAGAAAAAATTGCCAAGGGGTGCTTGTGCACCGACGATTTTCAAAATTCATATCTCTTAAACTAAAAGAGATAGCTACTAACTTAATTTTGATTATACGAAAGATTGGAGATTCTCTATCAGACAAAAATATAAAACCAGTATATTTCCTACAGTAAAAGGTCGAAAAACATGACTAAAAAAGGGTGCTAAAAGTGACATTTTACATTTTGCCCATTTTGTTTCAATCGCAGAATATCTCACGTAAACTACGAAGAATGAGTAAGATGCAATCGCAGCGTCTTAATCTACAGACCATCTCTATCAGATAGGCTATTTAAAAGTAGAAATCTGAGAGATGAAATGTTAAGTCTTAAGAAAAAATTGCCAGGGGTGCCAGTAGTTTTTCGACGGAATTTTCAAAAATTCATATCTCTTAAACTAAAAGAGAGATAGCTACTAACGGAAATTGTTGATTATGAAAGATTGGAAAGGAATTCTCTATCAGACAAAATATAAAACAAGTATATTTCCACCACAGTAAAAGGTCGAAAAACGCGACTAAAAAGTGCTAAAAGTGACATTTTGCAATTTTTGCCCATTTATTCAATCGCGAATATCTCGTAAACTAAAAGAGATAGTAAGATCTGATCGCAGCGTCTTAATCTACGAACCAATCTCTATCAGATAGGCTATTTAAAGTGGAAATCTGAGAGATGAAATTTTAAGTCTTAAGAAAAAAGGAAAAATTGCCAGGGGGTGCTTGATACTTTTTCGACGATTTTGAAATTTCATATCTCTTAAACTAAAAGAATGGCTACTAACGAATTGTTGATTACTTGAAAAGATTGGAAGATTCTCTATCGAACAAAAATATAAAATAGTACTTTCCTACAGTAAGGTCGAAAAAACGCGACTAAGTGCTAAAGTGACATTTTGCAATTTTGCCCATTTTATTCAATGCGAATAACATCTACGTAAACTAAAAGAGGTAGTAGATCTGATGCAGCACGTCTTAATCTACCGAACCAATCTCTATCGAATAGGCTATTTAAAGTAGAAATCTGAGAGATGAAATGTTAAGTCTTAAGAGAAAAATTTGCCAGGGGGGTGCTTGATAGTTTTCCCGACGATTTTTTAAAATTCATATCTCTTCCAGAAGCTAAAAGAGATAGCTACACTAACGAATTGTTGATTATGAAGAGGTACGGAAAGATTTATATCAGACAAAATATTAAATAATTATATTTCTACCTGATAGAGGTCGAAAAAACGCGACTAAAAGTGCTAAAAGTAGAAGCATTTTTGCAATTTTTGCCCATTTTTGACCTAATCTACTTGGAAATATCTGTAAACTAAAAGTGATAATTAAGATCTGATCGCAGCAATCTACCGGAAGCCAATCTCTATCAGATAGGCTATTTAAAAGTGCGTGGAAATCTGAGAGATGAAATTTTTAAGTCTTAAGAAAATTGCCAAGGTGCTTGACGTTTTCGACACGATTTTCAAATTCATATCTCTTAAACTACAAAAGATAGCTACTAACAAGAAGATTATTGATTATGAAGATTGGAAGATTCTCTATCAGACAAAATATAAATAATTATATTTTCCTACAGTAAAAGGTCGAAAAACACGCGACTAAAAGTGCTAAAAGAAGTGAAGCATTTTATCAATTTTTGCTACTATTTCTACATTTCAATCGCGAATATCTCCCTAAACTAAAGAATGAAATGCGAATCTGATCGCACGCTTGTCTTAATCTACGAGACTAAACTCTATCGAATAGGATAGTTAAACGGAAATCTGAGATGTAATTTTGATTCTTAGAAAAAATTACTTAGAGGTGCCATGACACTTTTTCGACACGATTTTGATGGCGTAATATCTCTTAAACTAAAAGCGCTAGCTACCAACTTAAATTGTTGATTATGAAAGATTGGAAAATTCTCTATCAGATAAAAGATAGCAAAATAATTTTATTTCTTTACGGTAAAGGTGAAACAACGCGACTAAGGGTGCTAAATTGACATTTTACCCACAATTTTTGCATTTCAATCGCGAATATCTCAACCAAGCAGAGATAATTAGAATCTGATCGCATCTTAATCTGAACCAATCTCTATCAGATAGGCTATTTAAAGTGGAAATCTGATAGATGAAATTTTAAATCTTAAGAAAAAAAAAAATGCCAGGGGGGTGCTTATTAGTTTTTTTTTCCGACTATTTTCAAATTACTACTATCTGCTTAGAAACTAAAGAAGAGGCCAGCTACCTAACAATTTACCGGTTATGAAAAGGGTGGAAGAGGTGTCTATCAGACAAATTGCAAAATAATTATATTTCTACATTAAGATTCCGAAAAACACATTCAAAGTGCTAAAAGTGACATTTTGCAATTTTTGCCATTTTATTCAATCGCGAATATATAGCCAAACTAAAAGAATAATTAAGATCTGATCGCAGCGTCTTAATCTACAGACCAATACTCTATCAGATAGGCTACATTTAAAGAATTAAATCTGAGAAGATAGAAATTTGAAGATCTTACAGAAAAGAGTACCAAGAGAGGTGCTTTGATACTTTTTTCGACAAGATTTTCGAAATTATATCTCTTTAAACTAAAAAGAATAGCTGCTACCAATTTATTTGATATGAAAGGTGAGAGAATTTCTCTATCTGGGTATATAAATGGTATAAACAAAGTAAAGGTCAAAACGACTAAAAGTACTTTAATAAGTGACATTTTACAATTTTTTACTGCATTTTATTTAATCGCAGATATCTGGCAACTTCAAGAATGAGTAAGATCCCAATCTACCGCTTGTCTTACGTACACAGTAATCTCTATCGAATGACTATTTAAAATTAAATCTGAGGGTGAAATTGAAGTCTTACAGAGAAAAAATTAGCAAGGGGAGGTGCATTTTGACGGTACGCCAAAATTCCTTAACTCTCTTGAAGCTAAAGGGTAACTGCGACGGTAAACACAGTTATGAAAGATTTAGAAGGAATTCTGCATCTGACAAAAATATGAGAAAATAATTCATATTTCCTACAGTAAAAAGGTCGAAAAACGCGACTAAAGAAGATGCTACAAGTGACATTTTGCAATTTTTTGACACATTTAAATCGCGATATCTCTGGCAAACTAAAAGAGATAATTACCTTGATAGCGAAAGCGTCTTAATCCACGAATGACATCTCATCAGGCCAAGCTGGCTGAAAGTGGAAATCTGAGAGATGAGAATTTTAAAGTCTTAAAGCGTTACCAGAGTTGCTTGATACTGGAAACGTTTTTCAAAATTCATATCTCTTACTTAAACTTCAAAAAAGAACTGCTTCTAACAATTTACATTTAATTACCAGAAGGAAAATTGGAAATTCCTATAAGACCAAACCACCAAACAGTATATATTTCCTACAGTAAAAGGTCGAAAAACGCGACTAAAAAGGTACTGAAAATTGACATTTTGCAATTTTGCCCATTTATTCAATCGTATCTCGCTCAAACTAAAAGAGATAATTCAAGATTCCCACGATCGCAGCATCTTAGTACAGGCAATCTCGATACGGCTATTTAAAGTAAATCTGAGAGAATGCGAAATTTTAGAATCTTAAATTACCAAGAGTGCGCTGATACTTTTTCGACGATTTTCAAAATATATCTAAACTAAAAAAAGACTAACTACTAACAGTACATTTGAATTACTGAAAAAAGAAGGTGGAAAATTCTCTATCAGGCAAAATATAAAATAATTATAACTTCCACTACAGTAAGGTCACGACCTTCAGTGCTAAAAAGTGAGCATTTTAATTTTGCCCATTTCATTCAATAACGTATATCTCGTAACTAACAGAATAAATAGGTACAACTCACCGAAATATTCTACGAGCTAATATCTACTGCTTGCCACGGTAGTTAAAGCGGAAATCTGAAAAATAAAATTTTTGCCGAAAAAATTGCCAAAGGGGTACTTGATACTTTTTTCGAGATTTTGAAAATTCATATCTCTTAAACTAAAAAGCCAGAGCAACCAACGAATCGCTGATTATAGAAGACTGGAAAAATTACACAGCGCAGATAAAAATTTAAAATATATATATTTCCTACAGTAAGGGTCGAAAAAGGCGACTAAAGAAAATTTGCTAAAGTGACATTTTTAATTTTTGCCCATTTTTTAAAACTTTAATCACTTTGAATATCTCGTAAACTAACAGAGATAAATAAATTTTTAACTCGCAGAAATTACTACGGACTAATATCATAACAGCACACAGTACGGATTAAAGCGGAAATGAAAAATAAAATTTTGCACCCAAGAAAAAATTGCCAAGGGGCTGCATGATACTTTTTCGATGATTTTCAAAAATTCGCCTCTCTTAAACTAAAAAGAGATAGCGCTACCAACAGAAATATTTGATTATGAAAGGTAGAAAAATTCTATCAGATAAAGATATAAAATAATTATATTTCTTACAGTAAAAGGTGAAAAAACACGCGACTAAAGAGATTTACTAAAAGTGACATTTATCAATTTTTTGCATTTAATTCAATCGCGAATATCTCTAAACTAAAGAGATAATTAAGATCTGATCGCAGCGTCTTAATCTACGGACTAAACTCTATCAGATAGGATAGTTAAAACGGAAATCTGAGAGATGAAATTTTGCTTCTTAAGTAAAAATTGCCAAGGGGTGGTGCTTGATACATTTTTTCGACGATTTTTGATAATTAATATCTCTTAAACTAAAAGCGCTAGCTACCAACAAATTGTTGATTATGAAAGATTGGAAAATTCTCTATCAGATAAAGATATAAAATAATTATATTTCTTACAGTAAAAGGTGAAAAAACGCGACTAAAAGTGCTAAAAAGTGACATTTATCAATTTTTGCCCATTTAATTCAATCGCGAATATCTCCTAAACTAAAAGAGATAAATAGGATCTAATCGCAGCATCTTAATCTACGGACTAATCTCTATCAGATAGGATAGTTAAAACGGAAATCTGAGAGATAAAATTTTAATTCTTAAGAAAAAATTGCCAATACTGATACTGTTTTTCCACAAATTTCGAGAGTGACTATCTTCTAAACGAAACCTAACAGTTAATTTTCAAATGCATCAGCCGTGTACGCAACTATCTGATGTATTTGCAACACGCGGTGGTACGCGATAAAACAAAACAACGGAAATAGAAACTAATGTACGACGCAGAAATTAAAACGAAGAATATAATTGAATTATAAACTTACCAATGCAAAACTCATGGGACTCCAAGCCACGGCTAATAGGTACTATAAATAAAAAAAAAGAAAACGTAAGTAAAACATAAATATTTCATACGACTTAGTAATATTATAATCACACAGGTGAGGTGTCGGGTACTTACACCAGCACAATTGGTCATTCTAATGATTATATCAAATCAACATGGGGGCAATACACTAAACCGACATTTATAGAAAATAAACGCGCGAACAGGAAATAACTTTACTTTCGTCACAAATCTAAATTAAATAGTCGCAAATTTGGACAGTGGAAGTCCGTACAAACAATACGAGTCGCGTAAAATGCGTATGGATTAACTAGATACCGGCACGAAACTGGCTGCCAACTGTGCAAGCAACGACGCGAGAGTTTATGATAAGAAAGCAAGAGGTGCGTAAAACCGGCGCGTCGACTGCCCGAGACCTTGTGCGCGAACTGCGTTTGGCACGTTATCTGCGATCAAAACTAAACTAAGATGCGCCAACCTGCGGCGTGAGGGGATCTCAGGCATTGCATTCTCGCAGCGTATGCGATAAGGAAGTGTAAGTTGTGTTCAAAACAAACACAATTCTCGTGTCGAATGCTCGCGCTTGCTGATAACTATGAAAATAAACAATACATGTCTATTTTACAAGTTTTGTTAATGCTAGTGCCATCTATAAATAGCACAAATATTAGTCCCGGAATATTAGTCTGGATTTAAAAAATGAATAAAAATTCAAAATTCGAATTATGTAATTCAGATTTCTTGTATTGCAAGATTTCCCGATTTTACACAAATTATTTTAGCAATATTTAATTCTATAGAACAAGAAGGATTAAAGATTAAAAGAAACGAATCGCGGCTTCTTAATCTACGGACAGTTCTCTATAAAATAAGCTAGTTAAATTGGAAATCTAAGAGAACAAAAAAAAATCATCCCTAACACTTTTACACTTTTACCGCCACCCTGCTACGGTACACCGAAAGAGATTCAACTATAAAATTGCGATTAATTACAATGTAACAAAATAAACAAAAAAAATCAACGTTCTTGTCATATTTAAGTCAATAAACTTGGATAGTGCATATCTTTTTTAAACTACTCGTAAAAGCGATAGCGACCAACAGATTCAAGAATATGAAAGATTGGAAAATTCTCTGAACCCACCCCGACAAAATTAAGATTTTCTTTGCAACGCGTTCCTTAGATACACGAAACAACGAGGAAAAATATGCCGGCCGACGGCATCGCTTATGCATAGGCGAAGGACATTGAAACCACGATTTACAAACAATTTATGAGTAATATTTAATTGTCTAATTGTTTAATTTATACCAGATTATAAAATGTCATGCAATTCTTTGAACCGAATTCAAGTAAAGAAAGGTGGCGAGCTGCGTGCAGGTAAGAACGGGCTGAAACGTCCGGCAAGGAGATTAGCGGATGTAAACAAACAAACTGATAAAAACACAATGTGAGGTACAAAATCGCGTGATCTTACCGGGCTCGCAATTCGCCAGTTTCGGCGATGTGCACTCACTACTACCATCAAACAGGTTGCAATAAACTAATTCAGAATTTTAATATGCAATTCCGCATTCTAGCGACATCTTGGCTGAAATTGAAGAATTATATTTAAGTAAACATGACGCCACATCGCGTGATCTCACACGGACCCGGACTTGTCCATTTACTGACTTTAATTTACTTTACTTTAATTTATCACGGCCTTGGCCGTCCTCGATTAATGTACTACTTTTCAAATCTATAAACCGTAGAAAAAGGGGTGCTTTAAAGGTGGAAGTAGATAAAATAAATGTAATATACGCGTATCAATTAATTAAATATTTGCTCGACTGATTTGAAGTCTTCAGACAGTTCGCGCGTGATTTTCGAGATCGGCAGGGCCCAATCACTTGAACAATTCTTGCACTATTTAAATATGCAGCTGCATTATAATGGTGCAAACTATTCCCAACATAATGCGAAACTTCCACCGCAAATTTACAAAAATATCAAAAGTAGCCAATTTTAGGGGCCGAAGGAGACCCGCCGCTTATAAAAACACTCACAACAACACACCGGCAGAGAAAGAACATGCGGAACTATTGTGGTAGCGATAATCATTGAGTTTTCTTACTGTGCAACATTAGTGTTGGTAAAATTCCACGCTGAACGAAGAGGTTGATGCAAATCCAAAATCCATGATCGATCACCGACGGCACAACCCGCACGATCAAATACATGCACTATACGAGTATTTACATTCCGCGAATATATTATACACGATAAATTATTAGCCAGACACACTAGACATCTTTCACTAAACATGTACGCCGAATATAGAGCGATTAACCGAATTAAATCCTAAGAAAGGAGAGCCGCGAAGAACGCGTGCGAACCATGCGTCGGATACCGTGAAACTAGTTTTATTTTTGCAGCGCAAGTAAACGATACTCGTATCGCCATCACACGGCAACGTATGCAGAACAAAACATATACAATACGATCGTACGCTACAATCCGCTGACAATAAGAGATAAGAACAAACCAGTTGAATTCAAGTGCGGCGTGAGAACACAAGACTAACGCAAACAAACTTGTAAACATGAGTATTGAGTATACACAACGTCAATAAAATACAAATTTCTTTTGATTTTTTCTTTTAATTTTAATGCTAATAAGATAAATTTAAGCATTAATATTAAATGTAATATATTGGTACAATAAAATGACTATAATCAATTCAAATACTTACAATCTGAAGCAACTACAGTTATCCTAGATCGTGTTCAGATGCTTCATTCCTAAAACAAACAAAAATTAGTTGTATAATACAACAAAAATACGAATTTGCAGAACTTACAATCCAAGGCTAGCCCGGTTTTCCTGGTTATCCTGGGAGTGTGCAGGCGCTAAATCCCTAAAACAAACAAAAATCAGTTCTATGATACACAAAAATCAGTTATTTATAAAAATTTAAAAAAAGTTTCAATACATACCATCAGAAACCAGAAAACAACAATATCCGCGCACCGAAATAATTAAAACCAAGATTTCAAGAGCGACAAAAAACGTGCGACGCGCAGCCCAAGTAACTCCGGAATGACGATATGAGAAACGAAGGCCGCTGCTCCAATTTTGGTACTGCTAGCGCCACCTAGTTTCCTCAATTTCATCTACACGCAACGATGAAGTGCTGTGGAAACTGTAATGTTTCTGAAACGCAAATCAAGTTTAAATAATAATCTTATTAAAAATGTTAAGAATCTTAATAAGGATCTAGACAAAGGATAGGAACAAATACTCAATTAGATATCCCGTATCAAAATTCACTAAAAAAGTATTAGTTAATACTGTTAACTGAAATTCTCTAAAATTAAAGTTTAAAAAGTTAAATAATGCAATCAAACATCAATAATTCAATAGACAGTCGGTGTATGTATAATATATTATGTTCTATATGCTTGTATTGTATACAATGTTAACATGTTCCTTCATTTTACAAATGAAATCGATAATTAATTGTATTATGTATATACAATAATGTTTCGCTTCAGTTTCACACGTCATAGTTTGCTATTTTTTGCTTAGTTTGATTCAATTTGATTTAATAACAATATAATAGTAATTTGGCACAATTACAATCAGTCCAAGGGTATTAAAACGAGCGGCTTGTTATCGAATTCGGGCATGGACGCACATTTCGCATCGCACGCAACATTTTCCGCCCAAAACGAGACTGCAACACAGCAAATTAACTATCTAATAGATTATTTAGCACGATGGAGTGTCCGTATATTCAAAAACAAATGCGATTTGCAGCCGTGAATGTGTGCGTCGCGTTTTCAACACTTTCCCAAAAAAATCAATTAAAACCACAAACAATTCCGAATGTGACAATAACATGAGCGGTGATGTTTTATATCGGAATTCGGAATATGAAACATGAACTGCAACTATTGTTAACAGCATATATTGTGTGAGACACATTTACAATAATTAAAAATAAACCATTTCGATTTACTCCGTGTTTCTCCTCCTCATTTTTAAGTTTTTTAATTTAAAAAATTGACCACAACAACGATTTGTCGTAAAAGTAGTGTTGTTTTTTTTTGTTTGTTTTGTTTAAATTTGTATAAACGAAGTTCATAGATATGTTGTTTGTTTTATTACGAATAGTTTACATTTAAATGTTTTGGGTTTACTTTTCATGTTTATCATTTCTTTACGTTTCTTTATATATATATAAGTTATTTTGATTCAGTTAGTGAGTTGTTTAATTTTAAATTTGTTTAATTATTAACACACTAATTAACAATGTTTACACGAAACAATCAATCGAGCTATGGAAAGAAGGAACAACCGATAATTGAGTACTGCTCAAGAGTGGTCGGTTCAATTCCATTCCAGCGACGAAAAGTCCATTCAAAACCAGAAAGTCGTCCACAGCGAGAACCGGACCGATAGAAATACCTACTTGCCCCTGTATTGTTCTGTATGAGTTTAAACAAAGTCAGGTTCTCATTGTAGTGCAAATGAGCCAAACGAATCGAATGATAAAATAATTAATGCGCCGTCGGCCGCATTAAAATCGGTGATTAAAATCGAACACAAAGACACACGATTGGGATGAAACTAATCCCGGCGAGCCGCCATTGTCTAGACGTTTAGAGTTCCAGCTTCAGCAGCAGCAGTATTTTTATATTATTACTCATCTAGTTTAGGAAACACTTTGATAAACTCGCTGCGCACTTCCCGCCGCTGCAACATTTCAATAAAGTTTTATTTGTACAGGAAACAACAATCAGATCGTCGCAGGAGTCGCACGGCGCGGTGGGGGCGGCCATCACGCGATTTAGTTTCAGACGGGCGTCGTCCGTCGCAGAGTGTCATTGGCATAGTCCTTGCGGCCATTGCGGGAGTTTATCGAGATGGTGCTCTGCGTGGCACGCAGCGGCAACGGCTGGTCCAGGTCAAACGTGACGAACTCATGCTCATGCTGCACCCCCGGCGAGTAGTCGTCGAACTGATGATGATCCGGTGGGAACTCGTCGATGACGTCGGCGGTCGTCGAGACCGTGTGCGTGGTGACATCGCGCGGAAACGACCGCATTGTATCAGCGCGCGCGTATGAAGCCCGCTCGTCGAACTGATAGCTAATCGTCGGTGGCGGTGGGAAGTCATAGAAAGCGGCGTCTTTGGCGGCAGCATCCGCGCGCGCCCTGTGTAGACTACACGGCGACTCGGGGATGGGTTCCTTGCTGAAGAAGTAACGCCGCTGGTGCGCCGGTGACGGGTAGTTGGTTGGTACATGGATGCTGTTCGTGTTGACGTAGGATTGCGGGTGTCGCTGACAAGGGTAGTACGCAGCGGCGTGTTCCAGCGGTAAGTAGTTGATGTTGGATGTGGTCGGACGCAGTTTACCACGGCGCAGGTCCTCGAGGTGTTTGGCACGGTACTCGTACTGTGCCTTGTTGATAAACAAAAATATGGCACTTATACCAGCCACCTGAGTGCCAATAAACCCGCAGACGTATAGCAGGAATGAATAACCATACGAGTAGGTGAATGCCGGTGGTTGCAATTGTGAACGAGGACGTAGTTTGTACCCGACTTCTGCTTTAAAAACAGAGATGTACATTATGAGCCCGAAGAGCATCACCAGCCCGCTGATGATGAACACCACGCCGGAGACGAAGGTGTACAGTCCTCGCTTCTTAATGCAGTAGCCCAGCAGACAACTGGCGTAGGCAAGCAGCAGGAGGAAGGAGGCGGCGGCGAAGAAGAATATCGACTTGGTCACCGCGTCTGTGGACAACGACGTCATTGATTTTAATTAAAATTCTGCCCAACTGAAACTATTTCCGCCGAATCGCTGCATGCAATTGCGTCCTGCGTGGAATTTTCTAATAGAGTCGAGCAGGAACTTACATGGAATTGCAAGCGTCGAGTCGTTCGGGTCGGGGCTGTACTCCTCTTTGGTGAAGTAGTCAATTTTTAAACATTCGTACGATGTCTCGCCAGCTGGAAAAAGACGAGTGCATTCTTTGGATTAAACGAAATGACAGCGTCATCAAATCACACAAATGCAGTCTTAACGCAAGATTAGCTTAGGTACAGAGATTTTAATCTTGTGAGAGCAAAACGCAGGCCAAATATGTATCAGGGCGACTGATTAAAATACATTAATTGAGGTAATGGGTTGATATCCATGTGAGACTGTGTTTCTGCCGGCTTCCGGAGCCGGAATCACATCGTCAATTGAGACCACACATTTGCGGTGGTTTCAAATGAATCCAACTGAATAAATAATGACCGGCCGTATGCAAATTTAATTTCTACAGGCCTCATTACAAATGTATTAAGCAAATGAATGTTTCCGAATGTTTATTAATTGCGGGGGCGGGCGCGAGTTGAAAAAGTGCGAGTATGATTTTTATTATTTTGAATAAAATACTAGGCACAATGGGCTTTTGTGTGGAGGAGCCGGGCGTTCATTAGAAAATGCGTTTTAATTACCGCTCCCAGCGGAGGCAAGTCGACCCCGGCCCCGGCAATGCGACTAACGACCTTTTGTTGTCGATCCATGTCGCCGGCACGTCACCGCATTCAACCCTACGGCGTACTCTGTGCGCCAGCCTCGATTGTGGATCGTAATGTAATGGAACAACTTTTCTGTTTAAGTTTTAGCGCCTTTTCGTGCGCGCCGCGGACTCCTTGTTTTCGTTCGGTCGCCGGTTCCTTTTAGTAATCCGAAGATACGTGAGTTACTTTATCTAATGCGTAATTACGTTACGGAAGCAAACAATTCCGAGCGCGCCGCTGCCCCGAAGAAACGCCCCGCCGGAATGAGGAAACGACGGGCCGGCGGTTAATTCATTTACAGCGTGCGGGGGTGCGCAAAAGAAGGTCGAGCGCGCGCGGGTCGACGCTAAATCGAAACATGTTGCGATAAAGAAAAACGTGTTGTCGAAACCGCACGGTCAACTTCAGCATTTTGGGAAATTAGAAACTCGAGATTTACCCGCGCGCACCCCCTAAAAATACCCGTTATTTCTATGCGGGTTTCATGGAAGGTGGAAAAGAAATGTCGAACGTCGATGCCGATTTTATTACGCCCTCGGGTCGCGTCTTTAACGTGCGCCGCGAGAATGGATCATGTCGTAACCTTCGCGAAGGTCGGGGCGGGGGTGTAAAAAGAAACATCGAAAGGGAGAGCGCATCGCGCGCCCCGGATCGCTGGTTGTCCTTACAAACAGGCAAGCAAATAGGTGTTATTAATGGCCAGCGATATATAGCGAGAGACCTCAATCAACTCCTTCAACGGCACGCAATTTATTTAAAGATCCCCGATGCAGAATGCGGAAGCCGGCTAGGGGCGGTGTGCGCGCGCGGGGGAGGGTTGCGGCAGCAGCGAACGGAGGAGCGAAAGCTTGTCGGAGAACATCACGCGTTAAGAACTACCATGGAAGGCGGCGTGGCGGCGGCGCACGGTCTAAAAAGCCCTCACCCCCCGCACGGCAATGGCAAGCGCCATTCACTTTTAATGGAAATTTCTTTTTTAAAAAATCGACTCGACACTCGAATATTTCTTCGACGCGTTCGCACATGCCACCGACTTGCTTATTTATACACCGCCCGCGTTTTTTTTTTCAAATTTATTTTGAGGACAAAAACGCATTTTTCATCCTTAACTTTACGCGATTTATATCACTTCCGGTGGCTTGCATGTTAGAGTATAAAACGCTTGTATTTTTTATTTCGCGCAATGAGAATCAAACATTAATTCAAACCATTTACTAATGAGTTTTTGCCGCGCGTAACTTTTTTTTGTAAAATTTGTAAAAATAAAATATTTATTAAGTGTATCCATCTTACAAATCAAAATGAGAAACGATGAATCCCGAAATGGAATAGGTGAAAATTCGCACGTGTGTGAAATGCGAAGGTGACGCAAGACAAAGGAAGGCGGCGTGCGCGCGCTAAGGAGGCGCGGATTTAATCAAAGGTAAATTTTGTCGCAAGCGCCTGTATGAATGCGCACCGTTGCGGAATACGCGCGACAAAGGCAAATTTGCAAATTGAGCGACGATGCGACAACATCAACGCCACACTACAATTGGACTCCTCGAGCTGTGGGAATCGAGGCGGCGCCCGCGCGTAATATTTGCAAACTACACAACGACGTGTAATATATTAATTCAGTGTAATTTAAGGTGCGACAGAGATTTAGACCGAGCACGTAACCGTTGACTAATGAGCTGAGTTAGTAATGACACTGAGTTATGTCCGAGCATGACAGTTGTACACAGTTTATCATGTGCGGTCGGGTGAAATGAGAAGCGGGAGATGCAAAGCGTGGTAGTCGTAGCGGCGACGGCGTCGGGACGTCGAAAGCTGGGGCGATGTTGAGCATTTGTTGCAATTTAGGTTTTATTTGCCCATTGCAATGACAAATACACTCGACGCAAAAAGCGTCGGAAGACGGCACCGCGCGCGCGTGCTGTCCGAGAGAGGGATTCGCGCCGGCGAACGTTATTAAGACTGAACGATATCGCCGGCCCGGGGGCGGCTAACAATCGGCCATGGGGCGAAGGCAAACACCGACAGCGCGACGAAAATGAGGAGAAAAAGTCGAGCGCACGATGACAGCGGGGAGGCGCGCGTCCTCCTCCTCTCCACGTGCAAGGTACGCGCTTTAATCAGTGAGCACAAGGCAAACAATTGTTCTTATATTAGCTTTCTCGTCGTGTGTTTCTTATTGCGCGCTCGGCACACAAATAAAACGAAGACTAATGCTCGATGACAGTATATTGTTTCAGCGCAACAAAGCGCAATCTAGGGCGCGCAATATACGACGCAGTTGCGACGCGCGCCAAGATAGAATAGCCATTTGTATAACAGACGACGAAAGAAAATAGCGCAGCGAAACAGTCATAAAATTACCTCGAGCATCAATTTTTGTGTTTCCGTTTTCCGCACGGCTTCCACGTCTCGCCGCAGACAGCTCTCCGGACGAGGTTTTTAGTGTTGTGTGGGTGATTGTCGGTGGTTTTAGTTAAATTTCCTTTCCATTTACTATTTGCGAAGGGCGCATTAAACTTTCACATAACAATTATTTACCTAATACCTGTTAATGCGCCCCGAAAGCCTTTCAGCGATGAAAAACAAGTGCAAACAATGCTGGCGCATATTTCCACCACATTGCGCTCCGCTAATTTGCTTCGAAAGTCATTACATAAGTGAATAAATGCGCAAAACGCGTCGAGTGCAAGCTGTAATTATTACCGTTTATATTTTCTGCATTTCTTAAGATTTTAAGCCCGCCAAATGCGAAATTCGTTATTAATTGTTAGATGATTGCCGCGCATGCCTCAAAGTTATAAATGTGGCTGCAACTTTTGTCGAATAAACTCGCACAAAAGCTCGCATCGGTCGCGGAAATATATTACCCGAGTATAACATTCGACATAACAGATTACAGCGGGCGGCCATTGGTGCGAGAGTTCTATTTGGAAATAAACAAGGCCTTATTTTGCCAACTTGCATAGCATTAACTTTCCCAACTTATAGTTCCAGGTCGTTCGTCCGTGCGGAGGAAAAAAGGGGAAAAGTTGCGCAAAGAATTCGTAGAAACCTCAATCCCCGGCCCTCTTTTTACGTTTTTCTCCGCTTTCTCTTTTAGGGATTTCAGCCACTTTTTTCTATTTTTTTTGCTTTATTTATTCCTTCATTTTATTACGCTTTTTGCTGAAAAAAAAGTTTTTATAACGCGCTCGTGAATCTTGTCCGGTAGTGCCAGTAATTTTTATGGAAATCAACAACAATATGTTAAGACGTTAGGTCCTTTATAAAGGACGAATATAAAAGCAGAAAATACATTTTTGCTCCGAAAAGCAAAGCGTGAATAAAACACGCGCAAGCCGAAGAAAAAAAACAGCAGCTCGGCACTTTGAGGTTGGCTGTACTCTAAAAAGATGAAAATTGATGTAGGTATCCAAAATGTTTGCCAAAACTTCTCGAAACAGTAAAGATTTATAATCATAATGATAAATATTCGAAAGTATAATTTATAAATCGTTGCTTAAAATGAGTGTAAAAGTTTAGCGATGAGGAGGCGTTGATTTAAAATCCAACACTGATAACCCGAGCGCATAAAAGCGCGAGCGCGAACCGCTTGTGTATCAAGAGCGAAGAGTGCAAAGTGACGATGGAGTAAAGCCATTAAGGCGGCAGCGCCCGCCACTTTTAGCAACTTCATCAGAAACAATCATATTTCCTGCGCAGCGCCTCCGCCAATGTAAAAGTGTCGGCGCTCGCTCGGCTTTCATTTCCTTTGAAAACTTAATATCATAAGTGCAAAACGCTCAAAACGAATTGATTTAATCTGATACAGAAAATGCATGTTTCACGATCTCTGCAGTTCTACATGCGTTGCGCTGAAATTGAACGCTCAGCGAAATTGATATAAGTTGAAATAAAACGCAGATGTGATTGAGATTGTGATTTTGAATTCCCGCATCCGTACTCGCGGATTTAACAAGTATTTGAAAGCTTTTCGAGCTGCGCATGCGTAAGTTTAAATTTGAACGAAGTCACATACAGCATAAATTGATAAGTGTAGATAAACCGTGAAAAGCAGCAGATTCGAACATTAAACATCTTTTGTGCACCGTAGATTGCAACTAGTGCCATCTATTGAAAGGCTAAATGAGAAGATGCAATCTTCGCGCGACTGCAAGAAATTTTCATTAAAAAGTATCGTTTGCTTATCGTGCTGTAATTGAAAGTCGAGATCGGCCGATTTAAGATGCGCCTCCCGCCGCCGCCCCCGGCCGCAGCACATCACGAACACGCGTTTTCTTGAAGCCTATACACCGATAGCGACTAACGATTCATTTCCGCGCGCCGGACGCGTCCGAACATCGCCCGGATTTACGTTCTTCCTGCCGCACCTTTGGCCCTCGCCCGAACGGGCAAGATAGCGCGGCGGCGGCGGCCGATACGCAATCAACAATCGCGCG